AAGAGACTAGGGCATAGGAAGTCATAGACTTGGTATTAGAGATAGAAACAGGATAGACGCGGCGGCGATGCGAGCTAGTGGACTGACAGTAGTTTTTATAAGAGACGTGGTCCATGTGGTAAAGGCCTGACCATGACACTTACTCACAGGCTTGAGCCTCGAATTAGTCAGGGTAGGGCTAATAACGCCTCAAGTTGGCCCAGATGGGGTGGCAGGGGTCGAGTGAAATATGTGAACCAGATAGAGGGCAGACGAATCTTACGGGGCAAGAGAGACTGGGGTAAGACCTAGGGAAGGAGGACTGCGTAACAATATGGCAGACCATCATGACCAAGTTGCGAAAACAAGGTCAAACAACTTTTATTCATATTATTGTGGGAAAATCTATCTAACAGTCCTTTATCACCTTAAATGAAATATGGTGAAGACGTTTCATATAGACTACATTTTGCCTTTAACTTTCATTTGGCCCTTCTTCTCATTAACTGATGACCACATCTGAAAGAGCTGTTTGTACGTGTATGAGTGTGCGATTGTAGCAACATTACTAGATAATAGTTTTAGTATTTATCATAATTACGTTTCTTTGACCACATAATTATAGCTACAAGGTCCGAATAACATAAACTGGCAGCCATACGAGCCTATGATAGGAAGGTAAGTTTGACTCCCATTGGAGATTATAGATGCAGCCAGGAATGATCTAAACTTCGGTGCTCTTTTGATAACGACTCACTTTTTGTGAGTATGATAAAAAACTCTGTTGTGAAGGTAATTCCCTAGATGCCGTGGTTAACAAACCAAAAACGCCGACACCAAAACCCAATGACCACGGGTTCTCTAGGCGTAAGTCCAAATATTCGTTTAAAACTAAAAGTAGCCAAAACAAAAGCTTAAACTCCAAAGATCTCACGTTGACTAAGTAAGTAGTTCCAACAACCCCTAATTTATGCTTGATGCCCGCCTTGCTATTTACATTTGCGTCGATGAGATCGCCACTTCAGATCGTCCGCCCACCTACCCTGTTGGTCTGCACTCCGATGTTGTATCCGTCATGGACGCTTGTTTCATGCGAGACCAGGCACGCCGGCCCAGTGTTCAAGTCCTCCTAACTTTCCCGGCGTTTGTCCGCTTCACCACCCCACCATCTCAACAGCCCGTAACTACCGCCTCTTCCGCCCCCTTCACAGCCACCACCGCCACCGTCCCTTCTTCCTCAACCGTTCGCTATCCCCTCGATCAAGCCAGCCCTGTATCGGCAGCCTTGAACCGTTCCGTTAGAAGGACGGCTAGCCATCAAGAGGGTAGTCCGGATGCCCGGCTGGTGAGTGTTTCGAGTCATAGCCAATTGGATCGGACCCAACACTCAGCGCAGAGTCAGCTACCACTGCGCCAGCCTCAGCACCAACAGCTTCATCCTCTCCATAACCAGTATCAACAGCTGCAAATTCAGCAGGGAATTTCGGCACAGGAATCCAGTCGGCTGTCGGGCGCCGCCGACCGCCACCACAGGCCAGCAAAGGAGCATTTGACGTCTGTGGAAGGCGTCTTTATGCCACACATCTCCAGTCTGCCTACGATTTCGGTCGCCAGCCCGACCCTATCTGCCCCTTCTGTCTCCCCGACCGGTCCTGAGTGGGCCGCCAGGAGGCAAGCAGTTGGCCACTTGAGTCAGCACCCAGTTCACAACCAGCCTAATTACGGCCTCGGCCGCTACCAGCAGGCGGCGGTACTGACCTCAGGGACAGCCGACCTATGTTCATCGAGCTCAGCCATCGTTCGACCGAGTCCTGCCCAATCGCTGGCGGACCAATCCAATTTGCCTGTTCAGGTGCAGACTCAGGCCATTAACTTCCAGGCCCACCAACAAGGGCATGCCCATCTGTACCCATTGTTACGGTTGCAACACACCCATCATCTCATGCATACCCAACTCCACCCAGCAGCACCTAGCACACAGCATCCTGAGCAGCCAATTTGTCAATTGAAGTTGAACTCCACTCGACACCACCAGTTCAATCTCAAACAGCGACTGGGGCACCAACCTCAAATACACCCACCACAGCCCCCAGCTCACCAACACTCGCAGATGCCTAAGAAGCTACAAAATGTGCACCAGCAGCCTCTGTCGAGCAACCAACATCAGCAACTCCAGTACCAACAGCAGTATTCCAAACCAGAACATTTTCCTTATTTTAGGCGGCTGAAAGCATTGTCTCATGAAACCGATATCTCTGCCGCAGCACCTATCTCGGGCACTAACCGATACTTGAATCGCGAATATCCTCCACGTGATTAACGGATTTCTCTTGCTTCCTTCCTCCGCCAAATCATTTCCGGCATCCCTGTGCCGAATAGTAGTAATGTGTGATCTCCACTTTTCTATAACCCTTTACTCCCTTATTTGTTGCTTACTTTGCTTACAATTTATTTGTATATTTATATGAGGCTTTAATGCAAGGATTGTCTCCGAGTGCGGATGTTCTGCATCTTACAGTATATATTAATTATTTTTTGTATTTACACATTTTTTCTACGCCAATACAGAAAATAACAAGTTATAATCCTAAATAGTTAGGAGAAAATTGCCGCGTTGCCTTGTGTTGGCGGAGACGACATTGTGTCTGCCGCCTGTTTTCTGAGCCATCCAACTTATACCACTAGACGAAATTAGCTTAATTGGCTCGATATATTA